ATGTACTGACTTCACTGAGTAGTTTGATAGGTATGATTTTGTGAAATATATAAAAGCACAAGATGAAGAAAGAGGAAAATACCTTGACAAATATTCAGTGACAATAGATAGGTTCCGTGGCTCGGTAACAGCACCCATGAACAAAACTATATTAGGATGCCTTAGGCTTTTCATTATAGCAACCTAATGTAGAATAATACAATGATCCTGAATCTTAGGTGAAAGATAAAGAAAAAACATTCACATGCTGCAGTAGCATTCTTATGAAGCCCCAAAAAAAATATCTCAATGTACATGTCTATTGGCAATGGTGTTCGCGAACTTCCAGAAAAATGATATTTAACTTATTGCAAGTGATCAGCATCTTAACCCAAATGCAGACAGTCAATTGTATCAAGAGAATCTGATTATTCAACATGTCTAACTATTTAAACCCTTTTCTTATAGAGGGGAAAGGGACTTGCTTTTACACTTCCAGCACTATATCTACATATATTACTCCTCTAAACTTCTGATATCAGGAAAGTCCTTTGCTCTCACTGAAACTTTCTAAATTTCTGTCATGGTATGGCCATTTATCCAAGTCTAGAGGTTAAGCAGTTAGTTTTAGAACCTCGCAGCAGCAGTAGTAAGATACCATGTGTTCCTACATGCAACCTCATGATCAATTACATTTCTCTTGCTAGAGACAATATTGTTTTTCTCTAAGGTTTTGCCTTCTTTAACATATCTTGATAATGAGCTAAGCATTGAACAGTAATATGCCATAAACCCACTATATTCAGAGGTAACATTGATTTTTCTGTAACATATGCAGCAGAAAAGTACAGAGATCTGAGTTCAGTCAAATGATTGACTATAATGCTTAAACCAGATTCTAAAAGTCAAAAAAGGATGAAAACTGGAGCACAAGACTGCCCAGCTTATTTAATTAAATTCTTGATTCGAACTGTTGAATCAAAAGGATACATGTGAAAATCACATAGCCAGAACATGTAGTCTTAGCAGTTTATGTGATTAATGACTAAATTCCACCCAGAGACTTCATGCATAATGTACTCATGTTGGAATAATTGATCAAACAAATCATAACAACAACGGCCTGACCAGGTTATTAGGTAAGCTGATTACTATGACTTATCCTTTTGTAGTCAACAGGCAGCGATAAATTTTATAAATTTTTTAAAAAAATCAGTGTGACATTTATCCAGAGCAAACTGTTACATATTTACTTGAGCATACCTCTCTTAAGAACTCTTTTAAGCGCTCAGGATGGAGATCTTGTTCCATAAGTATCTTGACAGCAACATCCTACAGGTAAAAACTATTTCATAGCTTCAAAAGAAGAAATTCTGCTTTTAAATATTCTGAAATAAGATTTTTACGTTTAAAAGCACAAAATATAATGTCTTCAAAATTGAACATAAATTTCAACGTCCATGCTAGGTGACGGACATCACGGGTTAAGAACAGTATGGGGTCGGAATTGTGTGGCCTTCTGAATGTGCACCACCTAAAAGAACAAATTCTGCTTTTAAAGATTCTGCAATAAGATTTTAAGTTTAAAAACACAAAATTTAATGTCTTCAAAATTGAACATAAGTTCCATCATCTATGCTTCTAAACATGGTTTGCCGTACCGAACAGTACCGCCCGGTACGGGCGGTACGTACCGGTCCGAAAGACTTTCGGTACGCGGACCGCCTCTTACCGAGCACGGGTCGAAACGCCGGTACGGTACGGTACGGCGAACCTTGCTTCTAAATGTACACCACCTAAGCGTTGAGACATGAAGTACTTCTCTTAGGTAATTGCATGGATTCAGCAAGAGTCATTGAAGCATTGGTGGGAATAGAACCATTTTCACCTTTACTTTCGTAGTATAATTTAAAATTTTATTTTTCTGCAGTTTAAGTGATGCTGCTCAAGGCAGGAACACATTAGCATTGTTAAAGAGATTTGTAAAGCTAATCGTCGATCCAAATAGTTGCGGCAAGTACTGATGATTAATGATCACGTTACAATGGTAATGCTATGTTTGTCTGATAACCATAAAACCATAGGATGTTAAAGCAGCCACTCAATTTACAAATGATAAAGTATCAATATCCACAATAAACATCAATTATCAGTTGTTTATGGCAACAATTAAATTAAAGACTCCACAGACAATATGGCCTAACGTAGCTCATGTTTATGGAACCACTTATGCTGAACTTTGGAAACTGAAAAACAGAAAAGTTTCCTTTATATTAAGCATATAAAACAGTTGATAATCAAAGAACATACCGAACCATGCCATTCAGCACGATGGACAGTTCCAAAAGAACCTGAAAAATAATACAGTTACAAACGAAAACATACAATCTAGTTTCTGCATATGGAATGTGATCATAGAATATAGATAACCAGAAAATAATGTGCATTTACCTGCTCCAATCCTCTCCTTCAGGACCAGTTCACTCCATGGAATATTTAAGTCATCTATGGCAAGGCTTATCTCATTGTTAGGTCTATTATGGCCCTGTTTAGAATCCTTTATAAGCCTGAAATCCTTTTTATCAGCCTTTGGATCAGGAGGAATGATATGGAGAACATCTTTCTGCACAGCTTTTGATGGCACTGGCCGAGCAACCTTTTGAATGTGAGGCAGAGGTAGCTCACAAAGTTCAGTTCCAGTAGCTTCTAGTGGTGAAGATATCACCTCTACAGACTTCTCATCCAAAGGCCTAGAGGAAGATAAGTCCACAACATCTCCTTGAGCAACAACAGCACCTTAAATAGTACAACATGCAATTTCAGTTGATGCCCCTCACGATATTACTCGCAAGAAATTAGTTGTCATAAAAGCTCATGCTGTTCAATAGATAGTGATCAAAATGGTGACTATCACACAAGTAAATTAGCAGCACCATGACTTGTAGTGACCAAGGAACTCTTGAAATTACAATTTAAGCATTTAAATCCAGTCTAATAAACAACGAGAATCAACCACTGAATTCACAGTTAAAGACCTTTGTTCCAATCGTAGCTTTCAAAAGTAAACTTCAAGCATTACATGGATTTTCATTAAATTAAAGTTACAATGAATGGATTGATGTGATTATGCTCGAGTCCACCATAAAATTTTGTAATCAAAGCACCTGATGAATGGCAAGATTTGACTTCAAGTAACAAACAAGCAGTGATGGGCACTCCAATTGTGAGGGGACATATATTGTAATGTGTTAAATAGCTAATTCAACTACAATGGAATGCTTGGATTGCTAGGCACAATGGAATTCACACAAATGTACTACTCAATCCATTAAGCTTCAGTGTTTTCAGAAGAAAAAAAAGATGCATTAGGATAAAGAAGAAGAAATCTCAAGTGAAGAACGTTCAATACTGTACGGACAACACCCAAGCATCGTGACCATTTTAGATTCTCGAGGTTATTGAACAGTAGTCAAACAAATACTAAATGCATAAGCTCCAACAGTCCCATTGTTACCAGAGATTTGTTGGATAAACAATGTTAGGACATCTGGTTTTCAAGCAATCAATAAAAGCAACATGAACTGGTAGCAGAGTTAAAATACACTCATACATTCAAATCAATGTTTGTGTTATATTCATGGGAGTCACCTGCTGAAGCGTCATTGAAGAAGAGATTAAGTGATTGACAGTCCAGAAGATATTGCTTGGCCAAGGTTCTAAAATTCACAGTTACCTCGGTTGATTTGGCTTTTGGAGGACGCAAAGGTGAAGATATTGAAATGGAATAAGGTCCATTCAGCAAAGAATCAGGTTCACACAGATTTCCTGGGTTCCTAATCAAATCAACTAAATATTCCCTGCCAATAGAGAAATTTTATCAATCAGTTGGCTTATTGAATATCAGTCTAAGATCTGTGAAGGTTGCAGAGTTAGGCACTTAAACAATCTAGTAAATGCTGATACTAGTTGTCATGCAGCATGAACATGCTACAGTGTCTCAAATTAATATCAGTTACAAGAATATGAGTGTTTGACTGTCTACTAATGTCCATTTTATACAAGGAATTACAGATAATATGAGATAGTGCAGTGAGATCTAACTACTCTAAAGAATCATATAAATGGCAAAAAAAAAATAATAATAATAATACATTTGTGACCTGTCATGGACAATCTAGAGTAATAGAAGTTTTGATGAAATTTCAAGAGCTCGTGAACACCATGAAACATTGCAATTTTAGCCACTATATACTTCCTATTTGCACAAATAGACAATATAGTTTCGGTCCCCGATCATAAAACTTATAAAAAGAAAAGATTAGGAATATGAATCAGTAGCATAAGAGTGGCGTGGTCATAAAGGACTTGCAAATCAACAAAAATCTGAGTGAGAGATATGTTTATCATTTTAGTTGGCTACTAGAAACCTCAGAATCAGACTCTTAGGAAGTGATTGGTTATGCCATAAATAGTCTGACAATTAATGATCTTAATTCTCAACAGGATCCAGTATCTCACTCAGTCACTAGATATGGAAGGATATGTAAGGTGTCTTTATATCGGAATAAAGATGCCCTTTATGAGTCAGCCTATGTATTTAAGTGGCCACTGAAGCAATTTGAAGGAGATGCTCCAACACTATCAAGGTTACAGTTTCACTTGTATATTTCCCTTTATTTGCAACTCACTCAAATGCAAATTGTTGCTTTGTTGCACTATTCCATGCTGTATCTGGGCCAGTTGTGCAAAAGCAACTCAATTGCATTATGCTGTCGTCATACTGGTCTATTGAAATTGCAAAATTATACATCAAGAAATTCTATGAGGCCCCCATCCATGATCAGTGCTGCCATGCCACAGGCAAAGTACAGCACAATAAGTATAGGAAGTAATCATTCCACAGACCAAAACTCTCTAAAGTAACAGTTCATAATTAACATAATCACTTGGAAAATAGAGTCTGCACCTTTCAAGACCAAAGCGCACCAAACATGAGGAAGCATCACCAGTTTTGCAATATTTGCAGCCTTTGGCAACTCGACATGGCAAATTAATTGTGTCTGCCAACATCTACAGACACAAAAGAAAAACAACAAATTAGAAATTAAAATCATCCCAACAAAATCTTGTGACTCATATGAATTTATTAATAGCAGACGTTTAAGTTAACTTCATGCAATCAAACATACAAAAGGAACACAGAGCATTAGTCACCATTGAAAATGAGAAAACAAATGAAACATACGATGCTTGCTAAAATGATATGTTATGTTCTCAATTAGTCACACAACAAAATTAACTTAAATATGTTTTTGTTTGTGAACAATTAAGAATCACTTTGATAGAAAGCAAAATCAAGAAAGGTAGAGAACGACCTAAGAAAACTTTAATAAAAACTGTACATAAAGATTTAAATAATCTTAACTTAACAAAAGCTACGGTTTTTTATAGATCTCAATGGTGGTAAAAGTTGCATGTAGCTGATCCTAAATGGTTGGGACTTTGCGGCTTTGTTGTTATAACAAAATTAGCTTAAGTGAACCTAAGTTTAGACCTTTCAATTAAAAAGAACTTAATAAGCAAGATTACACAAAAACAATGGTGCCTTGCAAAATCACCTTAAAAAGCAATGCACGATGCCTGCAGAGACCAACTGATAGCTTCCCAATTGGAAGCACAACAGAACCTGAAGTAGCCTTGAGAGCCTCACTGCACTCTTTCCAGCGACGGAGAAGATCCTCTTCATTAAAAGCTGTACCTCTTGTGTAAAGCAAATACATACTCATTATCAAAGAAACAAAAGGATCATATTGGTCATCTACATGTAGGGTGCTGAGAGCAACTTACCCCATGTGGGAGCAGACAAGGCTTGCTAGCTGATCCACCATATCTTTCGGTGTGGCACAGCTGCATGAAAGGCCAGCTACCACGTTTTGTAACTGCCTTAGATCAGGATCATATTGTCTATCTACTAGAGCCACTTCAATCGATGAATCACAGGGGTGAACAGTTTTCAGTGACTCAACTGATGGAATCCGATTCTCTTCTTCCACATCAGCACATAGAGTCCATACAAATGGATCCATTCCCTGAATCAGATAAAAGCCATCCGGAATTTTGTCATGGTATGATAGGCATCCATTTACCTGATGAAAATAAAAAAAAAAAGTAAGTACAGTGTCATGTACATGGATCAATATATTCACAGAATTAAAGAGTTTCTGGATTAGACATAAGGAGAGAATATTATTAATAAAAGTGAGCAGCAAGTAGTTATTAACAACTGGATACAGTGCACAAAAGGAAGAGACCTAAGCTATGTCATCAATAAACTAATAAATGGAGAATAACAACTTATAATATGTTTTTTATGGTACCAGCTGCCAGAGAAATCATGTGGATTACATTAATATTTCAAGTTCAAATTAATTGGTAATCCACCTTACATAAAATATTTGCAAAGAATATTTGTGGGAAAAAGAATAGAAATCTTTGATGGTAGTCAATATATGTCGGTTTATTTTCTCACTTGGAAAGTAACATCTGAGCAAATAATCATTTACAGGTTTTAGCAACTGAACAACAACAGAAGCATAAAGCTTGATAGTTATAAATTTATCATTTCCAAGGTCAAGCATGAGAATGCAACAGCAGCACCAAGAGGCCACTAGGCTGTGTGGTTTGTGTTTGTACAGACAATAAATGAGGACCCATATATGTAGGTCATTATGGATAATGGATAAAGGTTCATGAAGGATGACTACTAAAAATAATGTGCATGTATTTTCAAGAAGAGAAGAAAATGAAAGAATACTACCAATTGAGGATCCTCATGGAAAACCTTCTTCATCGTTCATGTTGGACGATTCTAACAGTGTACTAAACATGTTTGGTCTTTCATTGCTAAAGAGGAGAATTTTTGTGAATGATACTTGAATTAATTAACTAAATTCCAACTGGAGTATTCAAAGCAACAATGTATCCCGACGGATTAATCCCAATCCCACATCGAAAGTGGAAAGACTAAGATTGACTTAAAATGATCCAATAGGTATGCTAACTTGGCATATGCATTTTGGGCTATTGGTTCAAATTCAACAAAGTTAATATATCAATCATGGTTCACCTTATCGGTCTGTACTGATGGATCAACCAACTATCGATACAGTACGTACCGACTCATGACATATGGGGGTAAACCGATGTACTCCTTGTACTGGTCCCTTGTCGGATCGATATGTACCTAGGCGGTATTGCCGTGGTATAGCGAACCTTGATGTCAATTAACCTATGAGGTCGGACTGTGACAATTGGAATCATGGTCGAAAGATTCTCATGGTGAGAGGCAAAAGGCCCTAGGAAAGGATTATCCATAGATTAGACCGGAGGGCGTGTAACATTGTGGAGCCACCATTGTGCAACCTCACATGCACCATAAGGATGTGATGAATTACTATTGTTAATGAAATCATTACAAACTTGGAGCTCCAACTAGAAAAGTTCCAAATGATAAGAAATTGACTGCACATATGTCTCCATCAAATTCTTGGCCTTTAACAATCTTGATATACTATCAATCATATTAATCTGTGCTATTATTAAACATTGTCTAACAGATTTTGAAGAAGAAGTTGCATCCACGCGTTAATGTGATTCGTTGTGGTGAATGAACATGCCTTGGCAGCTTGGACTATGACAAACTAGCTTCCACTGGGTTCCGAAGTCAAAGTAACTAAACCGTTGAATCTAGTTATTCTGGCACCAAACGGAATCAGATTACGCGAAAAGAACAGAGGGGAGCAAAGAGATGGGGCGGTTATATACGAACCCAGAAGCGATGGGAGATGGTCGTGGGAGAGACGCGTTCCGGAAGCACTGTTTGATCCAAAGCGTCCAAGAAATTGGGGTCGTCCGCACACGCCGCCTCGGAGCAGAGCCGAAGCGCCAGGGCGAGCTGGAGCTGGTACGTCTCCTCGGCCTGCTGCGCCCAGCTCTTGGCCGACGACGACGACGACGCCTCCGCCACGGCACCGTCCTTCGTCCGGCCCTCGCCCCCTCCGGCAGACGTCAGGGCCGTCATGCGGCTGAAGGCGTCCGCGTCTACGGTCGCGGAGGAGATCGTGGCGGGCGCGTAGAAGTCCCCGCCGGAGAGGGAGCTCTCCCCGTAGCTGCTGCCGCTGGACTGCCGCTGCAGCGGCGCGACGGCGGGGGCGATCGACCAGTCGAAGGGGGAGGCGCGGGCGCGGGCCTTGTCGGTGGGCGGTGAGTCGAACTTGGGCGGCGGCGGAGAGTCGTCGGGGGACTGGCTGAGGAGCGAGTAGGTGGATCGCCTCCCGGCCATGTCCATCCCCAAAGGGTAAAGACGGGGATCGGAAGATTGGAGGCTGACTTCACTCGATTATATTCATCTTGTTGTTTTCAGTGGATTTGTTTGTCTCCGGGGGCGGTGGCGGAGGTTGGTAGGACCGGCGCCGAGGAGCTTCCGTCGATTCCGAGACCCGGAGGCTGGAGAGAGCCGATCGTCTCCGTCTACGCAAATCTCTCTCTCTCCCTCTCCCTGTCCCTCTCCGAGGGCCCCTTCTTTATTATTATTAGACAAAATTACAAATATATCCCTACAGGCCACTAAAGTTGAGTACACTTTAAGTTAGACTCGTACCATTTGAGAACGTATTGCAAGTATTAAAAACATTAATATTGACTGCAATTGATATTGCACACACAAAAAATGGTACCCATCATCTTATATAGATTATATAATCAGTCAAAAAAATACTTTTTTAAAAGATTTGAAACTCGATAATTTTTTTCATATTACTTATCTCCTTCCTGTAAAAGAATATATCGCTTGTATTAGGTAAGGCTTATGGATACTAAGTCAATTTTGATTTATGGGTTGCTGATAAAAAAAATTTTGAATGTAGAAATAAAATAGTATATAAAAATAATTTATATGATATTGATTTTATTATCATTATTTTTAAGTTAAAACAATAAGTATCATATCAATATATTAGAGCAAAATATATAATGTTAAATACATTGTTTAGTTGTTACTCTGGGAAGATAATTTTTCGTGTGGTGCCTTTTGTCCAGCGCCTTGGTATATTTTTTATCAGATCATTAACAAAATTAACTACTGTTATTATGTATACATAGTGTCATTGAATCAAGTATTAAGAATATTTTTGATGAATTAATTATAAATAGAAAACATCTACAGAGAAAAATACATATCTTCTGGTGCTTAAAATATATTTTTTATTATATTATAATTTAATTAATATTTTTTTCAAATATAAGCGATGAAGATGGACAATGATTCTAATATTTATAATAATCTGATAAGATTTTTTATCACGGAACGTAAAAATACTTCAAATAAAATTTTGAACTCTCGATTGGTTTGATATACAATCATCAAGCAAATATTTATGATATAAATATATTACATGAACATTTAGATTATCAAACTTTGTAAATTGATTTGTGTGAAAAAAATAATATATGTAAGGAAATTATTAAATTAAAAGTGTAGATGAGGCACGTGTTAATTTGACTAGGGACTGAACTTGATAATCAAGACGACAGACAAGGGTATAATCATCTCTACATAAGTTTTATGTTTATCGGTGTTCCTGATCCGTGATCGGAGACGATCAGGCATAACCTTTGGTAGCGTTGAATAGCGATCAAATCCATCTAGAGGATAAATTAGGGTCGACCGACGACGAGTCTACCTAACTTGGAAGGCCCGTCGAGCTCTGATTGTCAAGGTCGCTTCAAAATTAAGTGCCCAAATCAATGCGTGTCAAACCATGCCATAATGTC